ATTGCTACAAGGCTTGCGTGACTATGATACACCCGCTGAGCAAACGCCAGCCGTGCAGGTTCTAAAATTCGCTCTGGATACTCTATGGTCGCTGCAATTCGGTATAGACGGTAATCGTTTGAATGGTACAGAATGCGCGACCCTGAAGGCTGCGGCTGCCAGGCTGATGTTGACGGCTCTGGAACGTGTTTTGCGGGCCGATGAACCTACTACAGCGGTGATTCACAATGGTCTGCTACCAATGACTCTGAGATTGCTAGAGAATGCCTGCAGTAAGCCAGTGACCGTGTTGAAACCAGAGGAAGGTTCGCTGCTGCAGGAATTTATTTTCGCCACCATCTACGGGATTGTCACGTTCCTCTATTGCTTGTTGCACCAGCGTAGCGGCAATGTTGACAAGCTGTCGGACTTCCTCGAATTGTTCCGACTCTTCGTCGAGAGTCAGGATGGCAGGCTCGTCGAAAGAACTGTGTTTGCGATCGTCGATCTACCAAGTATTGATCCGGTGAAGTCGATAGTACGGGCCAAAAAGATAATCGACATAATAGGCGCATTAACCAGCGGATTGAAGAGCGTACGTCGTGATCTCTCGCACGTCACGCAGTGCCACAGGACCAAGCACAAATCCTGCATCAATCACGTTCAGAGTCATCATCATTCGGATGTGCTCGGAGCACCATATTCCCAACCGATCGTTGGCATAGCTGATAAACAAGCTTGCTGTATTTCCTCGTTATTCGCGACGCTCACGAGTTTGCTGAAGGAATCTCATTTATTCGTGAGCGAGTTGCAGGTGAGATTGATTGGGATAATTACTGCCGCGGGTACATGCTGTTGCTTCCCGCCGAAGATACTCGTCTCGAGTGTCATCGCCTGTCTCAGAAAACGCGACTCCTCGACGTACGCTCCGGCCATGGCGTTCTTGGAGCGTACTCTGTTTAGAGAAATGGGCGCGTATTTGTTGACAGACGCATGCGATACTTGTGATAAACCGGCTAATTACTCGTGGGATTTTCTAGAGTTATATGTCGATTTGCTGTGCCCTGATGATCCGAAACTATGTTACGTCGTTATGGCGCATCTGCTAAAAATCACACCCTGTTCCCGGTTTCACGTCAGGGAGCAACTTCTTTTCAGTGTTTTCTATCCGACTTTCCTGCGCGCCAAGGCGCATTACATGACCGACAAAGATAACGTAACTGCGAGGTTTCTTTTGCAATCCTGTATGTCCGTTATATCATGTTTAATCGTGAACCTGAAGATGTGCGAGAAATTCATGGAGATAAATGGACTGCACGAGATACTGTCTCTAATAACAGACGTATCGTTCACTAGGAGCGTCTATGCTCTTCTGGAAGTCATCGTGACTGTAGAGATCTGGAAGATTTGCAAGGAACCTGACAATATAGAAAGCACCGAAGTATCGGCGACGAAGTTCCTCTTTGAAACTCTTGATAGAGAGACGAACGGATTGTTCGTCAGCTTACAGTGTCTTAAGGAACTGAGAGTGAGAGAAAAAACAGACCAGCAAGGCGAGAAGGATGCATCTAATATGCATTCTGACAATCAAGAAGTTGAGTTACCTACTTCCAAAGATTTGAGAACGGAGATTGTTGAAGCGGCGGTTGAAGATCTCGATGATACATTTTTATCGCAACTGCCTGGAAGTGATATTCACTGCGAACAGTTAGACAACAAGACTGATACGATAGATGTTATAGCAATTTCGAATTCACTCGAGATGTTTCAGTTTCCTATAGAGGAAATTATCGAACTGCGCACCGATGGAGACACGTCGGATAGCAAATTTAGCCTGCATCAGGCTAGCGCAGCGTGGAGGGCTGCTGCAGGAGTAGCATTGTGCAGCCCGAAATTCCGGACTGAACTGTCAATACATCCAGTATCTAGAAAATCGTTGCATTTGTTCAAATTATTAACTGTGGGCATCGCTACGGACAGTATTGAAGGTAGGTGGAATAATAATACCGGAAAAATTTTTATTAACAAATTATCAAAAATTATTAATGAATCGTATCGTATTTATTTATTTTTTAGATAAATCGGCGCATAAGCTTCTCGAAGCCTTGATTACGTGCTATTTAATATCTCCGTTGTGTAAGTATATATGTTATGTTACAAATGCGATTAATAAAACGCATATCAAACACACCTCGATTACGTATGTATATACGTATACAGGGTGAAAAATTTCAATATGTAATGGGCTAAATAATTTGAAAAATATAGAAGATGCGGAAAAATGTTTTAGAAAAGTATGGCTTGAAGGACCGTGAATAACGATAAAATAATTTTCGAAAAAAATAAATTTTTTGAGATCATGAAAGTTATCGCCATTTAAAAAAAAATGAAATTATATGATTTTTACATAATACGATTCTATTTATTCTGCATGTAAAATAACTAGAATAGAAATATCGAAAAATCAATAGTTCATGAGATATTTTATGAGTTTATTTCTGCACATTTTGACATAAAATATATAATAGAATATCTGGTAATCATTAATTTGTTGACAATCATACCTTGATGGTAAAAATTTCAAAAAATTAATAGTTTTCGAATTATTTTATGCTTTATTCTGGCATGTATTGGTATAAAATATAAAATATTTTGTAAACTATAAATCGTATTTTAATACTTTAATACACAGAATGATGAAATGAATCAATTGGTGTAAACAAAACACAGTTGCTATGTAGTTGTATATTGCAAAATGCATAATTTTTTAAATTAGCCATTGTGTATTTTTTTTATACTAATTGATTTATTTCATCATTCTGTGTGTAAAATTATTAAAATACGATTTATAGTTTACAAGATATTTTATATTTTATATCAATACGTGCCAGAATAAAACAATTCAAAAACTAATAATTTTTCGATATTTACCTTAAGCCTTTTA